ATTTAAAATCTGTAATTCTGTAACCGTTCAGTGAAGTTGTTGAAATTTGGCAGGCAACTTTTTAATAATTCTGTCATTGTCAAAATAGTTTTTAATAAAAAACATCTACTTTTAATTTTGCCTAATTTGTAGTACATGGAAATTTAGACAGGATTTGAAGCGAACAATCAGCACGTTTACAGTTAAATTATAAACAGGAAATTTTACCAAACAATCAAATTGCGCGCTATTATTAGACGTTTTTCTCTGGTGTGGTCATTTCCAGCATTATTCTCCAGTGAGTGGCGGATTTATCATCTTATGTGGAATAGGCTGTCAAAATAATTACCAGGCATAGCTCCACATGTGAACTCATTTCCAGACAAAGCCCATGCGTGTGTCAACTACTATGTATTATTTAAGGGGGACATACATTATTAGTCAAACACAGATCAAACAAATTCGCTTGTTTAATAAAACAGCAGCACCTGTGCTGTTGTCAATAATAAAATCAAATGAACAGGGGTAATTTAAGGACATATGCAAAATATGTCGTTTTGATCCATACATAACTTTTCTAGATATTTGTTAAAGTGTGACGGTACGATTTTCAGAACGCACTATAGAGAGTGAAATTAACAAACCAGTTTGGACTTAAGGTTTCTTCATAAAAGTCGGAGGCCCCAGTATTACCTTCCGTTTGAACGGGATTTACCGGAATTTGTACGTGTGGATTTCTCATCCTAGAAGTGTTAATCCCGCAAACTGCAAACCTGGACGGGGACAAACTGCAGTCCTAGAGGGGACAAACTGCTATCCTGGAGGGGATTGAGTAAGGCCAAACTGCAATCCTGAAGGGGACAAACTGCAATCCTGGAGGGGACAAATTCCAATCCTCGAGTGGACAAACAGCAAACCTGGACGGAGACAAACTGCAGTGAAAAAGGGATGATACACCATCAGTTCTATGGATATGGTGAACTAGCTTGTGTTCCTTGAGGACCTATGTTGGTTGGGGAATAAACAGAAGAAAAAGAAGAAGCAGAAGAGGGAGCAGGAGATGAAGAACATGAAGACGACGAATAAGAAGAAGAAAAGGAAATATAAAAAGAAAGGAAAAGCGAAGAGCAAGGAAAAAAGAGAAGACGATTTGTTGATACCTTTCATATTTTATATGGCAGATTATTAAATTGTTTGCTTGCCACTCAACATATCATCAGTATCATCATCATCATAATCAGCATCATAATCAGCATCATCATCATCATCATTATCAGTATCATCATCATCATCATCAGTATCATCAACATTATCATCATCATCATCAGTATCATCAGTATCATCATCATCATCATCATAATCAGTATCATCATCATTATCATCATCAGTATCATAGTCATCATAATCTTTTTGCTTTAAGATACGTAAGGCCAATTACCCCCCGCTCCCACTACACTGACATACAATTTACGAGGAAGCTAACCGCCCTATCCTCGAGCACCCCTGAAAGTTCTGTATGTCTACGCCCCTGATCTCCCCTATCTCCGACCTTATATTAAACTATTCGTTCACATCCATCCCATGATCCAGTTAGAAAAATTACGGAATTACATTTCACACTCTGCTTGTTTTTTTTTTTTTTTTTTTCAACATTAACCGGGTCTATTAGCCAGTCCACTTGGAAGCCAGAGCTGCTGGAGATGGACAGAAATCACATCAGTTACAGAGTTATTTAGAGCCGCCCCGGTGTAGTGGCTGGAAGCTCGCTTTATACCTAAAGGTCGTGGGTGCAAATCAACATTGATTCGGATATTTTTCCTGATATTGACTTTCAAGTTGATCCAACCTAAAATAAGTACCAGATGTAGGCTTGGGAAGTAAAGAAGGTCAAAGAGATGCTGTGATATCACCATTTGGTTTATATATATATATATATACTAGCTATACCCTGCCACGCGTTGCTGTGGCCCAAATTGGTGAAATGGAGAGGAAAGAAACTAACAGTGTCTGTCATATCCCCCCCCCCCTCCTCCTCTCACCTCGACCCAGTCATATCTTCCTCTCCAAAGGATTGAAAAAATCATCCATGGCGAAATTATTAAAATGGAAAGAGTTAAGAAATGAGAACTTAAAATAATATTTTAAGCTCTCTGAGCTAACTGTGGCTGGCATACCCCACCTCCCCTTTCCACCAATCATATCTCCCTCTCCGAAGGATTGGAAAATCATCCATAGCGAAATTATTAAAATAGAAATAGTTAAGAAATGAGAACTTTAAAATAATATTTTAAGCTCTCTCAACTAACTGTGTCTGGCGAACCCCCAATCCCCCCCCCCCTCCCCCACCCTCTCCCCCTTCCACCAATCATATCTCCCTCTCCGTAGGATTGAAAAATTATCATCTGGCGAAATTATTAAAATAGAAATAGTTAAGAAATGAGATCATTGAAATAATATTTTAAGCTCTCTCAGCTAACTGTGTCTGGCATAACCCTCCCCCCCCCCCTTTTTTCCCCCAACAATCATATTTTCCTCTCCGGAGGATTGAAAAATCATCACCTGGCGAAATTCTTAAAATAGAAATAGTTAAGAAATGAGAACTTTAAAATAATATTTTAAGCTTTCTCAGCTAACTGCGTATGGCATAAACCACCCCCCCCCCCCTCCCCAACCCACTTCCACCAATCATATCTCGCACTATCCGAAGGATTGAAAAACATCACCTGGCGAAATTAAGAAAATAGAAGAAATCAAGAAATGAGAACTTCAAAATAATATTTTAAGCT